TATTGAATTTCTACTCTTCCTTCAAGACCCAGCTTCTCTCCTATAAAACTACTACAAGCAGAGCGAGATGCTTCTTCCTTTGGACATTCATTGTAGCATTTAACACTGCATAGCTCTTTTTGGTTTCCTTCTGAAATTCTTCAAGGACAAGGACTTTCTCCTCTTATTATTGTCATTGTTAATTCTCAGCAGTCAGTTCATTTACTATTTCACAACAGTTGCTTAAAAGGATTGGTAGTTGTTCAACTTGATTAGCTTAAAACTACCGTTGAAAAATATTCTGTGGCAATTTCTTTTTTTACTTAAGCTATGTGATCTTTTCCGGGAACATTATTGTGTGTGGGAGCAATCTTCAAGGGTTAGGGAGCTGAATAGGCCAAGGACCAACCTTTGAAGACCTCACGTTTCTGTACCAAGGAATATAATGTTTTGTCCACAGTGCTTATAAATACAGTTTCTGGTATTGAAGAATCATTCAGGAAATGTCAGTTACTATCAGTATTATGCTTAGATAAAACAAGAAGGTTGTTTTTAAATGTTTTTTTCTAGTTTGTAGTATCAAAGCAATAGGTGGTTGTTTTTTTGTGTGGGTTTTTTTTTTTCTTCAGACTTCAAATGCAAAATTATATTGTGCTAGTGACTGGTTTTTCAAACTACATGTAGACACAATCACTGTTTCGTGGAGCTTTGCATTCTAGGACAGTGGTTCTCAACCTTTCTAATACTGCGACCCTTTGATACAGTTCCTCATGTTGAGAACCACCAACAGGGTCGCCTGAGACCATCGGAAAACACTGATATTTACATTATGATTCATAACAGTAGCAAAATTACAGTTATGAAGTAGCAATGAAAATAATCTTATGGTTGGGGGTCACCACAACATGAGGAGCTGTATTAAAGGGTTGCAGCATTAGATACATGCCCTTGACTGGAATCGAACCTGGGATCTTTCAGTCCGCAGGCCGACGCTCTATCCACTGAGCCAAACCGATTTTGGCGGTTGCAGCATTAGAAAGGTTGAAAACTACTGTACTAGGGGATGCCTCCTAATTGACAATCATTGTCAAAGTGCTCTACCTTTCCTTCCTACTATGTGGTCTTTCTGTCTTTAAGATTACCTGTTGCTGTGATAGCAGTAAGAGAAGCTCTCAGGTGAGAGTCTTGCCCTCTGGCATTATCTTTTTCTTTTTTTTCTTTTTTTTTTTTTAACCTATGCACTTGAGTTAAATATTTTCCCTCACTTCCTGATGTCTTATATTGTGATATCCTTGAAAGAAGGCCCTGTCTTTCTTATTTATATATGAGAATAAAATACAGTTTGTGACTTAACATATTTTCAAAAATGATGAAATGGAAAATATTTTTTTAAATTACCCACACACTTATCTGCTCTCACTGGATTTAAATCTTTATTGAAAGTACTTGCTTTTCATAATTTCTCTTTCTATACCTCTCTCAACGTTATTCTCACCCATTATCTTTGCTTATTTTTTCAGAAGGTGCACACATTCTTCATTGTTCATTTTTAAGCAGTTCCAAAGCTGCTGTTGATGATGCCTGAAGCTGCTTGGGAGGCAGAAAACCAAGAGTGAGATCAAGAATTGTAAGAATTTAGCCAAAACCGGTTTGGCTCAATGGATAGAGCGTTGGCTTGGGGACTGACAGGTCCCGGGTTCGATTCTGGTCAAGGGCATGTACCTTGGTTGCGGGCACATCCCCAGTAGGGTGTGTGCAAGAGGCAGCTGATTGATGACTCTCTCTCTCTCTCTCTCTTCCTCTCTGTACAAAATCAATAGAATATATATTTTTTTTTAAAAAAAAAAAGAATTGTAAGAATTTAAATTATAAAGAAAGGTTGCTGCTCCGGGTCATAAATGTTTGAGATAGTCTAAGAAGTTGGTGTGGGCAAGAGAGCAAAATGGGGGGCAAGGAGTGCACTTGCCCTACAGAGCAAGATTTGTTATAAAATTGCAGTAATAAGATAATGATAGTGGCATGGAGAAAGATATGTAGAACAGTAGTGGAGTAGAATAGAGAATCTAGAATTACATCCACACATACTGGGAAGCCCGAGATATGGTAGACAAAAAGGATAGGTTGTTTAAAAATGGTGCTAGAAAATTGATGATCCAAAAGGGGGGCGGGGGGGGGGAGGATGGATTCTTCTCATCAAACTCAAAAATCAATGCAGATGGATTGAGGACTTAAATGTGAGGGATAAAACTAACATTTATAATACATAACATTATACTTTTAAAAAAATCCTCACCCAAGGATATGTTTTTATTGATTTTAGAGAGAGAGGAAGGGGAGGGGAGAGAGAGATAGAAATGTCAATTGGGTACCTTCCATATGTGCTCCAACCAGGGTTTGAACCTGCAACTTAGGTATGTGCCCTGACTGGGAATTGAATCCACAACCCTTCGGTGCAAGACCGATGCTCTGGCTAGGGCAAAACATTAAACTTTTGACCTTCAGGTAGGATAAGATTTTTTTTAAATTTATAAATAAAAGTACATAAAACAAATGTACAAATTGTAAGAGAAAATATTGACAGATTTAGCCTTATTAAATTTAAGAACTTCTATTCATCAAAAGACACCATAGATGTGCTACATAGCAGAAGATATTTATAATTTATGTAATCAACAAAGAATTAGTATTTAACTTTTATAAGCTAAACATGTTAATTACTATATCTTCATTTGTGGCCTAATGTCTAGAATCACTAATTGTTAGTAGTATCTTGGAGCTCCCAAGTCCTATGTGAGGTTGATTGGCCTGTAAATTTAGTGTTCAAGTGAGTCATTACAATTTTCCGAGTTACTAAGTCATCTTTGTCAGGCCATCAGTCATCTGTTAAAACTTGAAGAAGGACCCAACTACCTCTTTTAGGGAAACCCAATAGAAAGATAAGCCTTTCTAGTACTCTTATTTTTATACTATATAATAATATTCACTATTGATATTTCTGATATTCACATTCATAAATTTCTTGCATCAAACAGTTGTTAATAATAGCAACAAAAATGCTTGTAACACCTAATAGTTGCAACTGCATGTTTAGATTTTATTTTTTATATAATCCCCATTGGCTATCTTTATCCATTTTATTCCTTAATGAGTTCTTTTGAGAGCTCTGCTTTTTATAGAAAAAGAAGGAACTCTAGACTTTTTACATGCAATAATTGTGTTTTTAACAACAGGTTGTTCAGAAACTTTTCTGGTACATGTGAAATTATGTTTTCCCCTCTATTTCTTTTAATTGGAACCAAACTGTAACTGAGGGGAAAGATCAGAGTGTTTCTCTATGATTTTTCTTCTAGAAACAATGAAAAGTAAACAAAAATTAAAAGTCTTTACTAATTATTAAAAAGAATAAATAACCAGAAACACCACCTTTGTAATTTCAGATCAGGTACTGTTATGTGAAGATGAATTACTGACAATGGTGACCTGGTATTCTTGTGGCAATTGGTGCAGTACCTGCTCTTACAGGATGTTGACTCCTGAAGACAGGGGCCAATTATTTTATACTTATCAATCACAGTGTCATGCTCCCATCTCTCTCATTACCATTTTGGCAATAAAATAAACTGAAGGGGAATTATGATCATAGAAGGAACTATCTAATAGTAGATAGAAAAATATAGAAGGTCACCAGAGAGTGGGATTGGTCAGTCAAGCAGTGCTCCCACTGTAGGAGCGCACTGACCACCTGCTTTGAGCACCTGCCCCCTGGTAGTCACTACGCATCATAGTGACTGGTTGACCGGTCATTCTGGTCATTCTGCCATTTGGTAATTGGGCTTTTATTTTATAGGATAATTTTTAGGTAAGAACTACAGGGAAGTGTTTATAAAATTACATTGTGAAGTTGTCTAATTTGTGATTGAGGAAAGGCCAAACAAATGAAATGTGTATGCATTTGTGTATATAATACACTCAGTAGTACCATATAGTTTTTATATGTAAATGCTGGAAATAAATACCAGAACGTTGTTCTCCCATTAACCATAGGACCTGTGCAGTCAATAATGAAGTCTTTATGATTTGCCCAGGAATTAGATACAAAGTAGAATTCCTTAATCCTGAATTCTTTGCGGCAGAGTATTCTAATGGCATGGGTTTAGGGAGTGTTCAGGGTAGCTATGTTTTATGACCTGAAGAGACCAGGAGGTCTGTTACATCAAAAATGCTAGTACTCAAATGATCCTGCCCCAGGAGACTAGCATAGTTTTTGGTCTTTAGATGATCTTCCTCAATTTTTAAAAATGATCACACTGTTGTTTTTCTATTAAAAGGAAGCTGAATTGTCTTGTTTTTCTAATTTAATGAAGACTTAAAATATAAATTGATAAATGTATGGGTACCATGTTCTTAGCCCACTTTATTAATGCAGTCTACTTCTTTCTTTGTTAATGATAGTATTTGCCTTTTAACCTAAGAGTGAGTTGTGATAGCGCCTGGGCAGCGTTCTCACACTGCCGCTAGTAACCCTCTAGTAACCGAAGTATAGTTGATGATAGCAATCTAGTGCTCGTATTCAGAGTTGACCACGCCTTTCTCAGATAGCCACTTTCTTATTCAGGGAACTAAACAAGTGTGGTTCCCACCTCCCTGAGAGGTGAACCAAGCTGTTACAACCCAAGAGACCTGATAAAGTTCCAAATCCATCTTTGTCTCTATTTACCAAGGGAAGTCTTATTTCCAAATTGGAAGTACAGCTTTAACTCCAAGGTCCTGTCTTAGTCATAACATATTTGATACTTTGCTAATGTTGTTTCTGCTAATTAAATTTGGTACCTGTAATTGAAGAATCTGGTGCAGCATATCCAGATATGCTCAGCCTGTTTTCTATAAAGGGAAAAATCTGTACAAAACATTACCAAAGATGAATTTTGATTGCTGATATTTTTCAAGTAGCCTGGTTTCTCCCCACCTGATAGAAGTTGCTGCATCTTTCCAAACAGGTTCTCTAATGATCTTGATTCACCATGGCTACAAATATGGAGGGGCTGGTTCAGCACAGAGTGGGGACCCAGCAGGTGGCTGAGGTGAGTGACAGGGGCTAGCACAATAGCTAGTACCCTTGCTTTTGATAGGAAAAGTACATCAGTGTGCTCTGTTGTTTGAAAACAATCCCAAAGAAGTCAGGATGCAATCTAAATCCAAAGGAGGAGGATGCTGCCATGGAAGAAAAAATGAAAATGACAAGAACATTTACTCTTATTCTTTTGCATGAATAGTGTAGCCTAGCTGCATATAATAAGTGACTTAAAAAAAATTCACCTTGAAAACTAAAAGATTCTGATGCTTATCAAACATGAGGGTACAGCTTTAACTCAAAGGTTCTGTGTTAGTTTATTTCACATTTGGCACTTTACTAATATCGTTGTATAGAGGAAAACCCAGTTTTGTGCATTCTGCAGTTATTATTGACCATCTACCATGTACTGGAGATTTTGCTTAGTGTTGAGAAATATGGAGATGAATGAGCCTTTGGTTCTTCCTTTAGCATTTTCAGGAATTGGTTAAAAAGTCATTACAAAATAGGGTGAGAAGTATAATTCCATGTGAGGAAGGTGATCCTAGAGGCGGATCTTGAGTGATAAGTAAGCATTTGTCAGACGCACCCAAGGAAGTAGGGTGGCAGAAATCAGAAACTTATAAAAAGTCATGAAATAGCTAGGCAGCTTGAGGTGTAAAGGAGGGAAGTAGGGCCAAATCTTTTCACTCTGTATCAGGTCCTATGAATAGTCTTTAATCATCACCACAACCATATGAGGTTAGGATGATCATTATTCCCATTTCATAAGTGAGGAAAGCAAGGCTCAAAGCAAGTAATTGGCCAATAGCGCACTGACGCAGTTTTGTTTCACTTCCAATAAACCATGCATCATATTGGAACTAGGAGCCATTAGAAGGATTCAGATTTGTATTTTTGACTAGGTACTCATATTTCTAGGGTAAAAATGCAAATTTATCAAAAAATGTACATTTAAAGAAAGGAATTTTAAAAATAAAAACTAGGTGCACACATACCTGTTTAAACCAATAAAAGTAGTGAGCAGACATTTCAGATTTTAGATCAACCATGAACTTTAAAGCAACAGTGTAACTAATCATCCCCTTCCTCCAATAAATAATGATTAATATTAACTATGATAATAGATGGATTTCACACATTTTTTAGTAGTATATTTTAGAAAGGCCTCTCACCTATCAAAATGCTTGTGGTTATTTGTTGCCTTAGTTTCTGATAGGAATAATTTTCTCTAAAAAAAAACATTGTGGGTTTTTGGTGTTTTTTTTGTTTTGTTTTGTTTTTTCAAATATTTAGGGTTATTTTGCATTTAATACAATTTCCAGTTGAGGCTGATTTTGAGACTAGTTATGGATCACTGCTGTAAAAAGGTCATCATTAATTCTTTAGGGGAAAAGTTTAGTAATCTATAGTAACTTATACAATAATATATTTTGGGTATGTATTCAGAAAATTTGCTTCCTAAAATTTTTGGTCAGGTACTGTTTTTCCTTCAGAAAATGGAGTTTTATGTAGTATTAACTTAATGCAACTATTGTTAAAAAGTGCAGTTTTAGGAGATTTCCAAAATAAGAGAAGGCATTCTTAATAGGAGTGCAAAAGCAATCTTTCTACTTAAAGTATTCCCTAAGTTTCCTTGCTATTGTTTTGAGGGATAAGTATGTGTGTGTGTTCTTTGAAATTTTGAGCTTAATAACTTTGAAGCTACAATCATATGCCACTTAACAATGAGGATGTGTTCTAAGAAATTCATTGTTAGGGAGTTTTGTTGTACAAAGATTATAGAATGTACTTACATAAACCTGGATGGTATAGCCAACTTATTAAATGGTGTAGGTCAGCAGTTTTCAACCTTTTTCATCTTTGTTGCTTTGTTCCAGATCAACAAAATATGTATTTTTTGGTGTGCCACAGAATTTTAATAATAAAATTATTAAATTATTAAAATTATTAAAATTCTGTGGCACACCAAAAAATACATATTTTGTTGATCTGGGGGGAAAAAGTATAATTTTGATACATTCACACCCAATGGCTATTGCTGTGTTGGCTATTGTCATTTTATTAATTATTTGACAATCTAAAGGAAAAGAAGTTAGTGCCCCTGAGTAAATAGTCAGGTATTGCATGTTTAAAACTTCTCATGGCACACTAGTGCACCTTTTGCAACACACAGGTTGAAAATTACTGGTATAGCCTATCGCTCCTAAACTGCAAGTCGGTACTGCATGTTACTATACAAAACTAAATAAAAAGAAAATGATGCAAGCAGGAGACATGGTAAACATGAGGTGTATGAGGCTGAAGTAAAGAATACACTCTAGCTCTGGCTGGGTGCTAAGTGGTAAAATATTGGCCTGGGCACTGAAGAGTCTCGTGTTCAGTTTCCAGTCAAAGGCATGTATCTGGGTTGTGAGTTCGCTCCTGCCTTCCAGTGCATGCTGGGGGCAGCTGGTAGATATGTATGTCTCTCTCACATCGTTTCTCTTTTTCTCTCTACCCTCCCTCTGTCCCTTTCACTCTCTCTGAAAAGCAATGGAAAAAATATCAACTGAGGATTAACAGCAACCAAAAACACAGTATATTCTAAAATAATGATAAAAAGTTTAGTATATACCTTGTTTCCCCGAAAATAAGACAGTATCTTATATTAATTTTTTCTCCCAAAGTTGTGCTAGGTCTTTTTTTCAGGGGATGTCTTATCTTTCCATGTGCTAGGTCTTATTTTCGGAGGATGTCTTATTTTCAGGGAAACACGGTATTAAAAAAAAAAGGATAATATAACCCTAACTGGTTTGGCTCAGTGAATAGAGCATTGGCCTGTAGATGAAAGGTCCCAGGTTCAATTCTTATCAAGGGTCTAGATTACAGGCTCGGTCCCCAGTAGAGGGCGTGCAGGAGGCAGCTAATCAATTATTCTCATCATCAATATTTCTATCTCCCTCTCCCTTCCTCTGTGAAAGGGAGAGGGAGATAGATATACTTTTGTATATATATACTAAAGTATAGTATAGTAAATACATAAACCATTAATAGTCGCTTATTACCATTATCAGGTATTATCTATATGTTAGAGGTTCAGTGCACGAAGATTCATGCAAGAATGGGCCTTGCTTATCCTGGCTGCTAGCACTGCCTTTGCTCTGGCCCAGAACTGCTTAGAAAGGCTTAGCTATCCTTTATATACTAGTTGGTTAGTTATTTGTTGATTAATTTCTTGGCCTCATTTATCTTGTTGAGTTACTGTCAGCTCATCCTATTTACAGAGGCATCTGCAAAATACTCTGCTACATTTTAACATTAGTAAGAAATAACATTTAGTAAGAATGGGACAGACCTTAAGACCCTCCTCCTATCTTAACATTCCTGCTGTCAGTGCAAAATCAGGCTCTTGCATCTGATTGACCCCCTCCCCCTCCCCCTGCCCTTCAAGAAATACCAGACCTGCAAGTATCTGGCATTCTCTGTTTCTACAGTTGGAGGTAGGATCTGCCTCATATGGATTCCCTGAGAGAGGGAATTACTATGTTCCCTAGAAAAGTAATTTAGGAGTACACATCAGTATTTATGATGGTTTGTGTAAGGTGGATTCCCAGAAGTAGAATTACCAGGTCAGAGGGCATGAACACATTTTTATGATAAGAGGAGCAGACCCATTGACCTCAACATTTGGACCTTGGAGCATTTTGTTTACTTGGATCAATCTTTCCTTTTATACATCATTTATTAGTTATACTTAGTGAATAGAGTGTAATGTTTTTTAGAACTTTAAATATTTGAGGTAGGGAGAGACTGTAATCTCCCATTTTTAAAAGGAGAATCTCTCTTTTCCCCGTCCTCCTCTTGATTAATTTTTCCCTTCTGGGTTGGGAGCCTAGGTTTGTGCTAGAATTTGAAAAATGGATAACATATTCTCTTAGTTTATTTTAAGTTTTATTTTAAATTAGTTAGTACACATACAAACTTGTAGCAGTGTGAAGAACTTAATATTTTAGTTTTCTTCTCTAAACTCCCCAATCCTATATACAAGTAAATATCCATAAACTCTTCCCACCCTTCCCCAGACCTCATTTGTTTTAGTGACTAACCAGTATTTGTTTCATGTTAGTTGTTAAGGTGTTAAAATAGGTAAGTCTCCATGGCAAACAGGAGGCTGCAGGTTGGCTTTAGTGGCAAGCGCTCTTGGCCGGCAGCCAAAGAATCTGGGTGTTAGTTCCAGCCCCACCTCTAATTCACTGTGACCTCAGAAGCTCCATTTCCTCTATGGGCTTGCTGGAAGGGTGAGGCTTAGACTTGAAGCCATTCCATGGCCTGTTAAAGTGCTGCCTTTGCACTCACTGCCTGTGCTCATCCTCCTGCCAGAATAGGAGGCTGCAAAGGCTAAAACTCTGACCTGTATTCATATGTTGATGAGATGTAGTTAAATGTTTATTAAATGAGCCCAGTGCTGTTTTTCTTGTGGGTGTTTTTGTTTGTAATATAGACTGTTACATTGTTGCCTTCTTTTTGAATAAATAAGGAATTTGCAAGGCCCTTGTCTAAAAAAGATTAACTTAATATATTAAGAAGTTGAAAATGCTATATGTAGAATGTAATATTTCTAAGTTCTTCAAGTCTTCCCTCCACTCCTTAAAGTTTTAAAACTATTTTGAGTTGGTTGGACTCCATGGTAACATTCTTATGAGCTCTCAGTTCAGGTGGTCTTTACAGCGAAAGGGGTTGGGAGCACTTAGCAAAGGTAATAATGTAGGTGCAGGGAGAACTTTGTAAAGCCAAGTACAACTTCCCTAGAAGCAAATTAATCATATTATTAGACAGACTGCTTAAGCAGCTGGTGAAACAGCGGGAACATGACAATTTTGCTTCCTTAGTTACAAGAAGTGATAGTGTTCTTGACCTTCACCAGAACAGGGTCATGGAAAGGGCATCTTTATACAGCCTTGTCAGGTTTTAGTGAATGGAATCTGCGGTGGCAGTTTGAAAGCAAATGCCTGTGAGTTCCCCCACCAA